ATTGCTGCTATAACTCTCCACGTTCTTCTGCTGTTTATAGGATTTCCAGAGGCTTGTTATTTAAGAAGTGGGTGGCCAGTCCTACTTACTAATCTGTCTTATTCTGGGAGCTCTACTAAAACCTGTCCACCATGGGTAAGCCTTGTGGCATCTGACACAACTGTGACATAGCTTTCACTACCACAGCAGCCCACAGATTATCTCGGTATAACAAACTGATAGACGTTGCTGTACCAGTTAGAACAGTCTTCTTCCCAAAACCAACAAACGGACAGTTTTGTTTGTAACTACAATAGCAAATCAGTCTTCACAGCAGACCAAACAGTCCACAGCTGACTGTTGGTCAAATAAAAATGGCCTGTTGTTGTTAGGTGCCGTCGAGTCGTTTGCGACTCATAGCGACCCTATGCACAACAGCCCTAAACCCTGCTCTATCCTGCGCCAACCGCACTGCCTGCTTCAAACAAGAGGCTATCAGGCAGGCCCCAGCCAACTTAATCACAAAGTTCTGCCCACTGGATGGATGCTAATTGGTTTAAATAAGATACTCCCAGCCCAGAACAGATTGTAATGAAATAAAAACCAAATAACCTATACCTGCCTGTTAATTAAATGGAAAAGACAAAAAAGCCTGCACCTGAATGTTAAGAGGAAAAAATTAAGAGATTCATTAATGATAATTGGTAACTGGATTACAAAAGTGGGAAGAATGAAGAAGGAATAATACTTGGAAATATGGCTTTGGTGATAGAAATAAGGCTGGAAATAGAATGATCAGACTACATATTTTCAATAATTTATTTATTGCAAATACCTTTTTAAAAGACAAAAGCAGTGACTTTACACATGGACCTCACCTGATGGGCTGCTTAGAAATCTGATTAACTACTTCAGTGAAAGCAGTCACTGGACTGGGCTGGGGTTGGACTGTGGGTCAGACCATTAATTACTCATGTTCAAGTTAAAATTGAGGCTGGAGGAAATGAAAAGAAATCCACAATAACCAAAAATATGATCTCGAATTTATTCCATCAGAATTTCAAAAACATTTTTAAGAATAGATGTGAAGCATTGAACACTAGTAACCAAAGACCAGATGAGTTAGGGGATGATATCAAGGATATCATGCACGAAGAGAGCAAAAGTCATTAAAGAGACAGTGGAGAAAGAGAAAGCCCAAAATGGATTTCAGAAGAGACTCTGAAATTTGCACAAGAGCATTAAGAAGTGAAACAAAAGGAAAACATGCTGAAGTAAGAGAGCTGAACAGAAGATTTCAAAGGGCAGCTCGAGAAGACAAAGCAGAGTATTACAAAGGAATGTGCGGGTAGCTGGAATTGGAGGATAAAAAGGGGAAGAAGTGGCTCTGCATTTCTCAGGCTGAAAGAACGGAAAAACAAATTGAAGTCTCAAGTCACAACTTGAGGAGGATGCTATGGACAATATATTGAAAGACCCAGGAAACATTAAAAGAAGATGGAGGGAATACACAGAGTCACTGTACTGAACTGACTGACAGTGAAAAATTCCAAGAAGTACCATGAGCAGGAGCCATTGGTAATGGAGGAGGAAGTGGAAGCTGCATTGAAGGCACTGGCAAAAAAAATAAGGCCCTGGAATGAAGGGGATACCAATTGACTTGTTTCAATTAACAGATGAAGTCTTGGATGCTCTCACCAGTCTCTGCCAGGAAATTTGGAGGACATCTGTCTGGCCTATAGATTGGAAAAGCTTCGTATTTGTTTCTATTCTAAAGAAAAGTGATCCAACAGAATGTGGAAACTGTTGAGCAATATCATTAGTATCACATGCCAGCAGAATACTGCTGAAGATCATTCAAAAATAGCTAGAACAGTACATAGAAAGGAAACTACCTGAAGTTCAAGCAGGATTTAGACGAGGCTGTGGCACCAGGGATATCATTGCTGATGTCAGATGGATCCTGGCTGAAAGTAAAGAATACTAGAATTATGTCTATTTATGCTTTATTGACTATGCAAAGACATTTGACTGTGTGGATCATAACAAGATAAGGCTAACACTGAAAAGAATGGGAATCACAGAGCACTTAATTGTGCTTATGTGAAACCTATACATAGACCAGGAGGCTGTTGTGTGAATAGAGCAAGGGAATACTGTTGTTGTTATGTGTCCTTGAACCCTAGGTTCAGCAACTCTAAACCCTGTTCTATCCTGAGCCAGCCTCGTCGTCTCTGACACACCTACCCTCATTACCTCAGTCACTGAATCAGTTCATCACATCGAGCATATTGTCTCTTGCACTTTCCCTCCACTCTCCCAAACATGATATCCTTTTCCAGGGACTGCTCCCTTCTTGCAACATGCCCAAAGTATGTCAGACTAAGCTTCAGAATCCTTGCCTCCAAGAAACAGCCTGGTTTCACCCTCTCTAGGATGAACCTCTTTGTTCTAGCAGTCAGTGGTATATTCAGTACTCTTCTCCAGCACCGAAGCTTAAAGGAATCTATTCTCCTTTTATCATCCCTAGTCATTGTCCAGCTTTCTGATGCACGTGGTTTAAAATTAAGAAGGGCGTGTATCAGGGTTGTAGTCTCTCTCCATATCTATTCAGTTTGCATGCTAAAAAAAATTATTCAAGAAGCTAGCCCCTTTGAAGAAGAATGTGGCATCAATATCAGAGGAAGACTCATAAATAACCTGCATTATGCAGACAACACAACCTTACTTTACATAATGAGGAGGACTTGAAGCACTGTTGCAGAATAAAGAATACAGTCTCCAGTATGGATTGCATCTTAATGTCCAGAAATCAAAGAGTTTTACCACTGGACCAATAGACCACATCATGACAGATGGAGAAAAGATTGAAATTGATAACAACTTCATCTTAATTGGATCCACAGTTAACATCCTTGGTACCAGCTGTCAAGAAATCAGGAGATGTATTGCACTGGGAAAGTCTTCAGTTAGGAACCTCTAGATTATTGAGGAATAATGGTATCAGTTTGAGGACTAAGGTGCGTCTAATTCAGGCCATAGTCTTTCCCATCACTTACTATACATCTGAGAGCTGGACAGTGGATGACAGGAGATGAGTTGTTGCTTTTGAGCTGTTTTTTTTTTTAAGAGTACTGAACATCCTAGGGACTAACAAGAGAACAGACCGCTCTGTCCTGGAGAAGGTACAGCCAGAATGCTCTTTGAGGCAAGGTTGATGAGACTTTGCCTTACATACTTGAGGCATATTTCTAGGAGGGGTTACTCCGTGAAGAGGGACATGATATTTGGAAATGCAGAGGGTTGGCAAAGGAGATGAAGACACTTGACCAGGTGGATTATGCAGTGACTGCCTCAGTGGGCTCTAAAGTGTCAGGAAATGTGAAGATGACACAAGATAGGCCAGGGTTCAGATCCTTGTTCATAGTGACATTAAGGGTCATACTCAACAGCAGGTAACATCAACAAGGACAATTATTATTTTTTTTTTCACATTCTGTTATTCTTAAGAAGGGAGAGACTATAAAAAACAGCATTATCCTGGAGACTGCCTCAGATTACTGAGTCACCCAAAGATATTTCCTTAACTGCTAAGTACCTATATAAAATCCAATCTTGAATCTTCTTTTTGTGTGACACTGAGTTGTGTATGACTCATAGCGACCTTATAACCAATAGCTGTGAACCTCTCCCCGCCCTGAACCATCATCATGATAGCCAACATGCTTGAAGCCACTGATAGACTCCCTTTGTCAGTCTGTCATATTAAAGGTTTGCCTGCCTTTCTCTGACCTTTTACCTTTCCCAAGGACTTCCCCTTTCTGACAACATTCCTAATGTATTTGCGAAGAAGCATTCTTGCCTGTTAAGGAGTACCATGGTTGGACATCTTCCAAGACAGACTAGATTGTTGTTTGGCCGTCCACAGGATCGTTAGTACTCTCTTCAATACCACAATTCAAAGGCATCCGTTTTCTCTGGTCATTGACTAACTTGAAAGTTACATAGGAAACAGCTGAAAGTACAATGGCTTGCATCAGGTGCACCTTACTCTTTAAAGTGAGATTATTGCTCTTGAGCACTCCAGACCTCCTTGGCAGCCATTTCCCAGTGAAACATATCTTTTGATTTCTTCTCCGCAATTTCCACGGACGTTGGTTTTAGCTCCAAGTAAAATGAAATTGTTGGTGATGTCAGTCTTTTCTAAAATCATGTCCAATGATGGTGCCTGTCAATCAGTGTAAGAATTCTTAACATTGAGGTATACTTGAAGGCAGTCGTCTTTGATATTCTGCAGCAGGTGTTTCAAGTCCTTTTTATTTTCGGCAATCCTCTTACAACAGTCCTCTTTATATAGTGCAGCTTCTTGAACGATTTGCTCAGCATCTGGATTGAATAGGTTTGGAGAAACAGTACAGCCCTCATGCACACTTACCCTAATTTTATTATTTTGATAATTGACTTTCATATATTCATATACTTTATCTTTTATCTTTCTTAATTTTAAAATGTGCATTATTCCTTTGCTCTATTAGGACAATTGCTTCAAGGTACAGGTTTCATCTAAGTCTAATTGTATGCTCTGGGACTGCCATCCTTCTCAGTGTTACCTGTAATTTGTTATAATCCATACAAATGCCTTTGCGTAGTTATTAAAACATGTATACATTTTACTTGTATTCTCTGCTTTCAGACAAGATCTGTCTGACATCAGCATTGATAGTCCTATTATCATGTCCTATTTTAAATCCAACTGAAATTTTTGACAGTTTTCTGTCAGTGTGTTGTACCAGCTCTTACTTACTAATCTTTAGAATTTTACTTGCATGTGATAGTAATGATATTCTTTGCTAATATTTACATTCTGTTGTTTAAATAGCAAATGGAATGTAAATTTAATACTGTACATTTAAGCTAATAGGGAAGACATAGCGAGTTGATAGGTACTGATGCTCCATCAAGAATTGTACAGTTCGGTGCTCTGTGTATTTTAAAGCTAATTTTTGGTCATCTTTCTTTAGTCTTCACGAGTTCACATCACCCGAGCTGTGCTGGAACAATTTCTGTCCTTTGCAAAATACCTTGATGGATTATCTCATGGAGCGCCTTTGTTGAAACAACTCTGTGATCACATTCTGTTTAACCCAGCCATCTGGATACACACTCCTGCAAAGGTATGGATTTTGGTTTTATTAATTTCATTTTAGTATTGTAGTTTAGAATGATTTCATCTAAAGTATTGGTATTCACAGTGAAAGAAATGAGACTGGAGATTGAATGACAGAATTTTGTTCATTCACTTATTCATTGCAAATAATCTCTTAAACATACATAAACAGTGACTATACATGAAGTTCACCTGATGGGCTTCAAAAAAGTCAAATTGATGACATCTGTGAAAGAGTTAATGGTGAAGCTCAGTAAAGTCAGAACCAAGCCCCAGGTGACTGTGGAACAGAATGTTGATTAATCATGTTCAAGTCCAAAGTAGAGTTTAAGAAAAAAGTTTTAAAAGTCCTTGAGAACCAAAATATGATCTTTAAATATCACCTTGTTGTTAGGTGTTGTCGAGTTGCCTGCCCCTCATAGTGACCCTGTATATACTAACTCTGTAGCCTGCTTTGTCCTGAGACAGTCTCACTCTGCTCAACCTACCCTCCATGTGCCATTTCTTTATCAGTCCATCTCTTTGGGGTCTTCTTCTCCTGCTCTGTCCCTCCACCCTTCTGAGCACAGTGTCTTCCCTAAGGACTGGTCCCTCCTGGGCACGTGCCCAGCATGTGTGATACAGAGCTTCAAAATCCTAGCCTCAAAGGAAAAGCTTGGTTTTACCTTCTCCAAAACAGACTTATTTTACTGTTTCTTGGAAGTCTGTGCTACGTTCAAGACTTCTCCAGCCCCACAACACAAAAGCATCAATTCTTCTGTCGTCCTTAGTCATTGTCCTGATGCATAGCAAGTAATTGTGAAGACCCTGGCCTGAGTCAGGCACACCTTAGTCTCTACACTGACATCATCGCTTCTCAGTACTCTGGAGAGGTTTATGACAGTGGATTTTTCCCAGTGCAATTAGTCTTTTGATTTCCTGACTGCTGGTGCCAACAGTGTTGATTGTGGAACTGAGCAAGCTGTGAGTTTTAACAGCCTAAATTTCTTCTTCATCTATAATGGTGCTGCCAGTTGGCCTAGTGGCGAGAATCTTTGTCTTCTTGTTGTTGAGCTTATCCCATGTGAATTAAAAATGTGCAAAAATGAATGAATGGAGACAAAATTAAATGGAAAGAATATGCTGTTAAAAATATATATTGCATTAAAAAATCATTAATAAAAAAAATTTAAAAAAAAGAAAAAAAACCTAAAAATTATCTCAAGAATAGTTTAGATACATTAAACACTAATGACCAAAGGCCAGATGACATCAAGTATATTATCTGTTAAGAAAGTAGAGTGTCATTATACGAGGAAAGAAGAATAAAAGACCAAATGGATGTCAGAAGAGACTGAAAACTGCTGCAGAATGTGGAGAGGCTAAAACAAAGGGAAGACATGCTGAAGTAGAAGACATGAACAGAGGATTTCAAAGGAAAGAGTCTCAACCAAGATAAAAAAGCAAAGAATAATAATGAAGTGTGCCAAGAGGCGGTGATAGAAAACAAAAGGGAACTTTCTTGACATTTCTCTAGCTGAGAGACCTGAAAGAACTAAGTCAAATTTCAAGTTGCAACATTGAAGGATTCTGTAAGCAAAATCGTGAATGATGCAAGAAGCATCAAAGAACATGTGAAAAAGAACTAACACTGAAACGTTTCAGAAAGTAGCACATGATCAGGAACAAGTGGTAATGAAGGGAGAAGTTCAGATTGCACTGAAGCCACTGGCTAAAAACAAGTTTGCAGGAATTGATGAGATACCAATTGACGTGTTCAACAAACAAATACTGCTCTAGTTTTGCTCACCAGACTATGCTAGAAAATTTGGAAGACCTGGACGAGTGACTGGACGAGATGCATATTTGATTTGATTCCCAAGAAAGTTGATCAAACAAAATATGGAAATTACTGAACAATATAATTAATACCACATGTACATAAAATGTTTCTGAAGATTAAGTATTCAAAATGAAATACATCACCAGAAAACTACTAGAAATTCAAACTGTATTCAGAAGGGGCTGTGGCAATGAGAGATAACATTGCTCAAGTCAGATGGATCGTAACTAAAAATAATACCAAAAGGATGTCTTACTTGTGTTTTATTGACTATGGAAAGGCATTTGACTACGTGGATCATAAATTATGGATAACACTGTGAATAATAAGGGTTCTAGAACATTCAGTTGTGCTCATGTGCAACGTATGCATAGATCAAGAACAGAACAAGAGAACATTATGTCATTTAAAATCAGGAAGGATGTGCAGCAGGATTGTATCCTTTCTCCATACCTATTCACTATGTGTGCTGAGACCACACTCTGGATGCTCAAGTATAAGGGTGGCAGATGATACAACGTTGCTTGCGTATACTGAATAGAATGTGAAACGCTTGCTGCCAAAGATCAAAGCTACAGCCTTCAGTATGGAATTTACTTTTTTAATTTTTTTTTATTAATTTCAATGAACATTTACAGAGATTTTGAATTTCCATTCATTCATTGTTGCACTTTTCTCCCCGCCACCCCACCCCCACTTCGCTCTTCTCTCTGAAAAGCAAAAGAAAAATTCCTTCATTGGTATACAATCCTGCCACACACACCCCCACCCCCACCCCGAGTATACGGCACTCTGCAACCTTCATTCCAGACTTAATGATAATCATAGTGCCCTATAATATATTGCTTTTAAACTGTTCTCTCCCTCATCCATTTCAATGCAGTATACATAATTCATCCAGTTTTTCTCTTTCTTACTCCATGTCAGTCCCGTTCTATGGCAGTGGCACTATGCAGTGTTTGTCCTTTTCTGACTGAGGTACTTCACTCAGCATAATGTCCTCCAGGGTCACCCATTTTGAATAATATTGCATGAGTTCCTTGGTTTTCAATGCAGCATAGTATTCCATTGTATGACTATGCCACAGCTTCTCTATCCACTCCTTTGTTGATGGGCACTTAGGTTGTTTCCAACTCTTTACTATTGTGAACAAGGCCGCAATAAACATGGGTGTGCATATATCTGCTTGGGTGGCAGTTATGGTCTCTGGGGTATATTTCCAGTAGTGGAATTGCTGGGGCAATATCTCTATTTGCAACTTTTTGAGAAAGCACCACACGGCCTTCCACAGTGGTTGCACCATTTTACACTTCCTCCAACAGTGAATAAGGGTTCCAGTTTCTCCACAACCTCGCCAGCATTTGTTGCTTGCTGTTCTGTTAAAATTTTGCTAGTCTTACTACGGTGAGATGATATAAAGAAAATCAGAAATTTTCACCACTGAGCAAATAGGCTATATCATGATAGATGGAGAATAGATTCAGATTATCACCGATTTTATCTTTATTGGATCTACAGTCAACACACACGGTATCATCAGCCAAGAAATTCAGATATGTTGCATTTGAGAAATCTGCTGCCAAAGACCTCAGCAAGGTGCTAAAGAACAAGGATGTCAGTTTAAAGACAAGGGTCACCCTTATCTAGACCATGGATTTTTCATTTGGTTTGTGTGCATCTAAAGGTTGAACACTAAACAAGGAAGACCAAACGATTGGATCCCTTTGAATTAGGAGGTTAGAGGTCCTGAGTATCCCATGGACTGCTAAAGAGAACAAACACGCAGCAATTCCAGAGGCATATGGTTCAAATGAAGCAGCTGCTCCTCGAGAGAAAGGTGGACAGTCTCTTCCTCTGTGACTTACTGCCTCTGAAAAACCATTGGAGGGCCAGCTACATGTTGATTGTGGCTCAGGGACCCACCAACCAACCAGCCAGTCTGTCCTGAAGGAAGGGCCACCTAGGTGCTTGCTAGGGACAAGGATGGGGAAACGTGGTCTCCTGCTTTGGGCATATTGTTAGGAGGGAACAGTCCTTGAAAAAAGATGTCACACTGAGAAAGGTGAAGGGGTCAGAGAAAGAGGCATTTCCTGAACAAGCAGGACCAACACAGTGGTCTCTAACATATCAGAGATGATGAGGACAGCAAAGTACAGGGCAAGACTCATATCTGTTGTTCATGGGCTGTCCTGAGAGGGAAGAGGGCCCCTAAACATAACAAGAAGACACCTTTGGATTTTTTATCCTATAATGGTACTCTCAGGCATTCATGTCAGTCAGGTAGACACTTTGCGGTTTAGTACTATAGATTAGCTTTAAGAGGACAGTTAGATGGAAATATGCAGAGAGAATATTTTTGATGTAAAGGAACAAAATAGGTCATATGCAAGCTGTGTGTGCTGGGTTTTGTAAAATTGAAAGTGCAGCATCACTTTGTGGGGACAATGGAATTATGTTACAGTGCAGATGCTCACTAGTGAGATGTCAGTGCTGGCAACTGTTTTCAATTCAATGAAAAGTCATCTATCTGTCCTAGTATGGTGTTTGAATCCTTTCAAGAAGCATTTTATCTCACATAGAGCTAAGCCTAGGTTTAGTGTGGTTCGCTCTGAGGTTCATAGATACTGTGGAGTTTTAGTTCACAAATTGAAGTCTTGTAACAATCCTGCATGGAGTAGCTCATTTACCACAGTATATATTCCCTCTGTGCCAGATTTCACAATTCTTGCAATTTTTTTGTTTACTCATAATCTTGTGTTCCAGACTTGACAGACCGTCCTCCCATAGCAGTTGAGTCGGTGCCGAGCCATGATCATACCCCATCTGATTTCCATGCCTGTCCAGCTTGCTGAAAGCAGATGGTCTCTGTCTTTATCCTGGGCGTGGCTGCTGGGGTCACCCGGAACTACTTTAGTTAAGAGCCTACTTTGTATGGCACCTGGGCTTCATTAGTAGGCTAGTGTAAACTTTTATTATTCACTGGAAACAAAAACATTTGTCTCATTCATTTTCTTGCAATATTAATAAAGCAATATAGATTAATAAGCAAACCAACAATTTCTCTGTAACTGAACCCACAGTTCTTCCAAGATGTGGCTTGCTAGGGGATCAGAATGGATTCCTTTGCAAAATAAGAAAATAAAATATTAGAGATCAAGTTATAAAAATGAATGTCACTGCATTTAAGCCCTGTTTGGTGTCACACTGGAGGCATTTTTGAAGACTTGAACTATGACCAAGTATTTCCAAGGAAGAAAGAATTTGGAGCCCTGATCACTTCAGCTGATTTAATTATTATTATTACAACTCAAAAAATGTATTTTACTTTCCAGTCAGAATTAACATGTATATAAGACTAAGTGTATGTGTAGATGTTAAATTTTTTGCTGATATCATCATAAAGTTAGGTTTATTTTACATAATCCTGTTGTTGTTGTTATATGTCATCAACCGTTTTGTCTCTGACACACTTAGCCCCACCACTCCATTGACTGAATCAGTCCATCTCATCGAGATTCTTCCTCTCTTGTGTTGTCCCTCCACACTCTCAAGCATGATATCTCTCTCTAAGGACTGGTCCCTCCTTGCAACATGCCCAAAGGATGTCAGATGAAGCTTCAGAATCCTTGCCTCCAAGGAGCAGCCTGGTTTCACCCTCTCCAATGATGAACATTTTTGTTCTTCTAGCAGTCCATAGTATATTCAGTACCCTTCTCCAGCATCACAGCTCAAAGGCAAAATTCTCCTTCTATCATCCCTAGTCATTGTCCAGCTCTCTGAAGCAGAGAAAGTAATTGCAAAGACCATGGCCTGTACCAGGTGCATCTTAACCTCTAGACTGACCCTGTTGCTCTTCAGTACTCTAGAGAGGTCCCTGACCCGACTTTCCCAATGCAATTCATCTCTTGATTTCTTGACTGCTGGCGCCGAGAGTGTTGACTGTGGAGCCAAGCAAACTGAAGCTCTTAACAATCTCAGTCTCTTCACCATCTATCATGATGCTGCCAATTGGGCCAGTGGTGAGAATCTTTGTTTTCTTGTTTTTGAGCTTTAATCCATACTTAAAGCTGCAGTCTTGACCTTTTGCAGCAAGTGCTTCAAGTCCTCCTCAATCTTAGCAAACAGGGTTGTGTCATTTGCATAATGCAAGTTGTTAATGAATCTTCTTCCAATCGTGATGCCACATTCTTCATAGAGCCTTGCCCCCCGCATGATCTCTTCTGCATAAAAATTGAACAGGTATGGAGATAAGACGCAGCCCTGGCGTACAGTCTTCTCGATTTTGAGTGATGCAGTGTTCCCTTACTCTGTTCTGACCACTGCCTCTTGGTCCACATATAGGCTTTGCATAAATACAATCAAGTGTTCTGGGACTGCCTTCTTCTCAGAGTTAGCCAGAGTTTGTTGTGATCTACACCGTCAAATGTCTTTGTACAGTAAATGAAACAGAGACATTTCTCTGGTACTCTCTGCTTTCAGCTAAGATTCATCTAACATTAGCTGTACTTTCTCTAGTGCCACGGCCTCTTTTAAACCCAGCCTGCACTTCTGGCAGTTCTCTGCTGATACTGTTCAGTTGTTTTTTGATAATTTTCAGCAGAATCTTGCTTGCATGTGTTAATAATGCTATTGTTCCATAATTTCTGCACTATGTCAGGTCACCTTTCATCCTAGTGGAAATCATAATGAAGGGCATATTTTTGTGAATTTGGGTTGCATTTTACAATTGTTAAGTTCCCCACAAACTTTATTTAAATAACACTTAATTTTTTATTTTTATTGTTGCCCAAAACCTACTACCATCTAAATAATTCTACGTCACTGTCCCTCCATCACATTTCAGAGCTGCATTCCTTCCATCCTGGGAGGAGACTACTTACCTTTCTTCTGCCTAGAGCCTGTGGCCTTAGTACCCACCTCTTCTGTAACAGTCCAGTGTGTAACCCTTGAGGTCACCAGAATCCTTTATACTGCTTATCATATTAGCATGTGGCTTAAGCCCAAACCAATATTTGATCACTCTTATACACCAAGATGTTGCATTTTTATCTGTGATCACATTCTACAGTTAAAGATATAATATGGAAGGGAGGGATCTAAAATGACATGAGCTTTTACATCAACAGTGCCTATTTTTTCAGATATTGTATAACTGATGTGTCAGAAAGTAATACTTCTTATTGTATAGTTCTGTTCCTAAGAAATAGGAAGCCTGTGGTGATGAAGGAAGAAGTTCAAGCTGCTCTGAAATAATTGGCACAAAACAAGGCTCCAGGAGTTGACAGTATACCAGTTGACATAATTAAGAAAACAGACGCTGCCCTGGATGTGCTCACTAAGTTGTGCCAAGAAATCTGGAGGACAGCCACCTGCCCAACTGACTGGAAGAGATCAGTAATTGTTCTAATTCCAATAAAAAGTGACCTGGCGGAGTACAGAAATCATCAGTCAATGTCACTCATATCACATGCAAGCAAGATTCTGCAGAATATTGCACAAAACGACTAGAGCAACAGGCCAACAGAAAACTGTTAGATGTGCAGGCTGGGTTTAGAAGAGGCTGTGTTACTAGGGATAGTATATATAGCTAATGTTAGATGGATCTTGGCAGAAAGCAGAGAGTACCAGAGAAATGTCGATCTGCGTTTCATTGACTATGCAGAGGCTTTTAACTGTGTGGATCACAACAAACTGTGACTTACTCTGAGAAGAACAGGAATCCTAGAACATTTGATTGTGCTTATGTGAACCAGGAGGCAGTCATAAAAACAGAGCAAGGAGACACTGCATGGTTCAAAATTGGGAAGGCTGTCTGCCAGGGATGTAGTCTATCTCCATACCTTTTCACTCTGTATGCAGAACAGACATTGGACTGTATGAGGAGGAAAGGGGCATCAGGATTGGAGGAAGATTAATCAACAACCTGTGTTATGCAGATGACACAACCCTGCTTGTTGAAACTGAGGAGGACCTGAAGCACTTGCTGGAGAAGGTCAAGGACTGTAGCCTTCAATATAGATTGAAGCGTAATATCAAGAAAACAAAGATTCTTACCAAGGGGCCAATTGGCACCACCATTATGGATGGTGAAAAGATTGAGATTGTTAACCGTTTTAGTTTGCTTGGCTTCACAATCAACCTTTTTTTGGTACCAGCAGTCAGAATTAAAAGATTAATTGCATTGGGAAAGTTTGCTGTCAGAGCCCTCTCCAAAGTACTGAAGAGCAACAACATCAGGTTGAAGGCTAAGATACACCTGATCTGAACCATAGTCTTCGCAGTTATATGTATCAGAGAGCTGGACAATGACTAAGGATGATAGAAAGAGAATTGATACCTTTTAGCTGAGGTGCTGGAGAAGAGGGTTGAATATACTACGGACTGCTAGAAGAATAAATAGGTCTGTCCTAGAAAGAGTGAAACCGGGATGCTCCTTAGAGGCAAGGATTCTGAAGCTTCGTCTGACATACTTTGGGCATGTTGCAAGGAGGGACCAGTCCTTGGAGAGGGACATCATGTCTGGGAGAGTGAAGGGACAACACAGGAGAGGAAAACCCTCGATGAGATCGATCGATTCAGTGACTAGGTTAATGGGAGTAGGTGTGTCAGAGACAATAAGTTTGGCACAGGATAGAACACGGTTTAGGGCTCTTGTACGTAGGGTCAGTAGCAACACAACAGCTTATAACAACAGCAAAGAACCCTTTAATGGTAAGACATTCAACAGTTAAACAAAAGGTCAGTGGTTCTGGCTCACCAGTTACTCTTAGGCAAGGCCTTGGCAGCATGCTTTTGTAAAGATGACCACTTTGGAAATGTGGTGGGGCAGTTGTGTTGTGACCTCCCAGATTTGCTGTGAGTGGGTACAGTAGCGGGAGGTGTGCTTTGGGCTCTTGCAGGTAAGTATATACACTGAGAGTCTAATGGACTGCATATAATTGGATTGTCCTGTCAGATTAATTTCCATTGAACTGTTCACAGAACCATTTAAAGTTGTTTAAATATTCATAGCTGTTAGATTACCTTTATTAAAGGGAATACATTAAAATTTGTTTATTGTAGACAATTTTCTTTTTAAAAATAAATGCTAAAATTAAATTATATTTTACTTTGTTTTATATGGCCATTTCTTGGCTTTTTTTGGTTTATTAGTATTTAAGTGAGAATTGAGTGGATTTTTGTAATATGAATGTTTGAGATATTTGCATGTCTTTTAATGCTGTATTGTTGCTACTGTGCATTAGGTTCAGCTTTCCCTGTACACATATTTATCTGCTGAATTTATTGGAACTGCTACCATTTACACCACCATCCGCAGGGTGGGAACTGTGCTACAGCTAATGCACACCTTGAAATATTACTACTGGGTCCTGAATCCTGCTGACAGCAGTGGCATTGCACCGAAAGGACTAGGTAGGTACGCTACAGCCCCTGGATCCTGAGTACTGCGGCGACCACCTGTGAGCCTGCCACTTGGCCAGTTTTTTCACCTTATCTCTCATGCACTGACTGGTGCACGGAGAAGTGTTTGTGCTAAAGAGAAACTTATAGCACTGATTAGGAATTTAACTTGTGGCATAAAGGCAAGGGGAAAGAAACAATATTTGCATCTTAGCCTGTGTGCCTGGGCTTGATTCAAGAGGATATTTGTAGAATTTTAAAAGCTTGTGACTGATATGGGTCATTGGGTCATGGCCAGGATGTTTTGAGATTGTGGCTTAATTTCTCAGTAAATACTATATTTGTGGTATTTTTATTCTAAATTCTCTTTTTATATTTTCAAAGAAATCTTAATTTTTCTCTGCATGTTCTTTGTTGCTTTAAAAATGCTATATAAAAAAATGCTGTTATTTTCCTAATTATGAAAAATAATAAGCATGTGTATTATGCAAAAGAACTGCAGCCGTTCATGGGGAGATTGGCTGTCTTCCTCCTGAGAAGAAGGGCCTGAGAGGTGCTGTCCTAGACTAACAGCACAACTCCCTACAGCCGCTGTGCCAGAGATCCCTGTGTGCTGGGTCTCCTTGTGGCTTTGAGCTTCCTGTGGCCGGGGCAATCTGTGCACCAGGGCTATCTGTGGGCCTGAGCTCCCTGTGGGCGCAGCTCCCTGCGCACTGGAGCTCCCTGTGGGCTGGCACTCTCTGTGGGCCCTAGCTCCTTCTGTGCCAGGGCTCCCTTTCATCTAGGCTCCTTGTAGACTTGGGCTCCCTGTGGGCCAGAGCACTTGAGCTCTGTGTGAGCCTGGGTTCCCTGTGGGCCCGAGTTCCCAAGTTCCCTGTGGGTCATGTCTACCTGTGGGACATATGAAGAAGTGTGATTCGTAGCCCAGAGCACAGCAGTATCTGTTGTTAGAAGTATGATCTGCATTCTTCTTTATCTTATGTTAATCACTTGAAAATACTGAAATGTTGTCACAAATTGAGATTTTGTTAATTTGTTTTTGGTTTAGTTCTACTGTTATAGTGATGTAAGAAGATAGAACATTTACTTTTTTTTAAATTCTGTAAATAATGCTGTGATTCCACTCCCTTACATAGACTGTTAACATCCATATTTGAATTGTTTAACATCACTGAGAAATTGGTCATAATTAATGTCCATATTTTTCAGAAATATGATTGTTGCTGTTGTTGTTTAATGCTGTAGCGACCCTATGAACGAACAGCCTGAGCACTGTTCATACATAGAGTTTC